ACACAGGTGATATCTGGATTTTACAACAGCGCCACCTACCGGGTCCAACTATGTCTATAACCTTCACGAAAGTGCAAGCAATATGTTGACAAAGTTTTATATTACTAGCGACCTGCCCCGGCTTCACACAGGTGATATCTGGATTCTACAACAGCGCCACCTACCGGGTCCAACTATGTCTATAACCTTCACGAAAGTGCAAGCAATATGTTGACAAAGTTTTATGTTACTAGCGACCTGCCCCGGCTTCACACAGGTGATATCTGGATTCTACAACAGCGCCACCTACCGGGTCCAACTATGCCTATAACCTTCACGAAAGTGCAAGCAATATGTTGACAAAGTTTTATATTACTAGCGATCTGCCCCGGCTTCACACAGGTGATATCTGGATTCTACAACAGCGCCACCTACCGGGTCCAACTATGCCTATAACCTTCACGAAAGTGCAAGCAATGTGTTGACAAAGTTTCACCGCAATCTGATGAACGGTATGGCAGCGTATAAAATACGAACTAACAAAAATTAATTTTTATGAATTAGATTATACAAAGATTATACACATTCTGTAGTAAAAATGCCTAAATAATGCCAATTTTATTTACCATTGTATTAAACTAAGAAAAGTAAAAATACACGTTTAAAATGCTATATTTTTAATAAATTAAAATTGAACATTGCAGTTAGCATCATATTCTTCGTCTTTTTTATTAATTCGATTTAGCATATCTTTCAATGGTTTGAATGCAACGCAATTGCCATGTTGACCAATGCCGTGTTGAACGTGCAGGATAGACTGGGATCTGAGACTCTACATGATGTTTAAAGTGTCTCTTCAATGATATATGATGAAATATTATCAACTTTACAAACAAACTTTTAAAATTGTCTATTGAATGTGATACAAACATAATACGAGAAGTACTGGAAAATCCCCCATATGCTGGTGAAGTATCTAGGGTGGCCATTTTAGGCATTTTGATTTGCTATAACGAATTTAAAATTTTTGTACTATCCATTAATTTATATTTCTACTACCGAAATACTGCCAAATACTTTTTTTTTATAGAAGAGGGGGCAAACGAGCATACGGTTCACCTGATGTTAAGTGACTACCGCAGCCCATGACCAACCGCAACACCAGGGGAATTGCAGGTGCGTTGCCGGCCCTTTAGAAAGGAGTAAGCTCTTTTCTTGAAGGTTCCCAGGTCGTATCGGGCCGTTGGTAAATTATTCCACAGTCGTACGCGGAAGAAAACTACTAGTGAAATGTACAGTGGTGGACCGCCAAGCATCCAGATGATGTGGATGGTATCGGGAGGTTTGCCGCGTAGTGCGCTCATGAAATTTGGCGGCAGGGATTAATCCGAAAATTCCTCAGAACACTCCCCGTAATAGATGCGATAAAATACGCAAAGAGATACAACATCACTTCGCAGCGCCAGTGAATCGAGCCGATCGGAAAACACTTGGTCGTCGACGATTCGAGCCGATCTGCGCTGAATGGGGTCAAGTGGAAGGAGCTGGTACTGGGGAGCCCCAGCCCAGAGATGGGAACAGTATTCCATATGCGGCCGAACCTGCGCCTTGTATAGTTGCAGGCGGTATGCCGGCATGAAATACCATCCCGCTCTGCTGAGCACGCCGAGCTTTTTGGAGGCCATTTTGGCCTTCGCTTCGAAGTGACCACGAAACTGCACGTCATTCGATATGTCGACGCCGAGGATTCCGATTCTGGCTGTGGCAACAAGGTGAGTGCTTTGAAACTGAGGAGATACAACAAAAGGGTTCCTTTTAGCGGTTAATGCGCAAACTTGTGTCTTCTGAGGGTTAAATTGGACTAGATTGATGATATTCAGACATTTGCTGAACAATGTGAAGATTCGACTTCAGACACAGGTTTGTCCCGGTACTCGGAGACGTTTTCCCGAGATATATTGGCACTGTCAGTGTACAGAGCGTAACCAGTGCTGTCATCTGCATAGCAATCAATGTTGCTGGTTTGCAACATATCATTGATGTGCAGATAAAACCGCGTTGGTGATAGCACGCAGCCTTGTGGAACACCAGCGTTAAATAGGCTTGTAATCGGAGCTAGCACCGTCTACAACGACCTTGATGCTCCGATCTGCAAGAAAGCTGGTGATCCAATTGCACAATTTCTCGGTAAGCCCATAGGAAAGGAGCTTCGAAAGACGCGCTTTCTGCCAAACCCGATTGAAGGCCTTCGCAATGTCTAAACTAAACTAACGGCCCATGCCTCCCCTTTGCACTCTACTGCCGCCACCCATCTATGAGGCAGGTACACAAAAAGATCCCCTGCTGATCGACCATGACGAAAACGGTATTGGCGATCACTAATCAGCTGATGATCCTCATGTTACCTCATGAGCTGGCAGTTTACAATGGACTCCATTGTTTTGGAGAACAAGGAGGTGATGGCGTTGGGCCTGTAGTTGGACGGGTCTGAGCGGTCACCTTTTTTAGGGATCGAGTGGACGAAAGCCGTCTTCCATGATTTTGGGACTACGCCTAGGGAGTAGGAGTACCGGAAAAGATGCTTTAAGATCGGTGCCAACTCTGGAGCACACATCCTTAGCACAGTTGGGGCGAGTACCGTCAGGCCCACTCGACTTGTGGATGTCCAGGGAAAGGAGTGCTTTGCGAACCGAGCGCTGTGTGAACTGCACTTCCGGCATGGAGCACTCACACCGCGGGATGGTCGGCGGCGTACTCCCCCCGTCATCGAGAGTCGAGTTGGACGCAAAAAAAAACCTAGCAGATCGGCTTTCTCCTTTGCGGTATGGGCCAGTGAGTCGTCCTCCCTCTGCAGAGATGTAAGAGATGGCTGACAGCAATTCTCTTGGACAGCCTTGGCGAGAGACCAGAATGCACGGGTTCCAGAAGGAAGGCGAACTAGTTTCTCGCCAATTCTGCCTATGTGCTCTGACTTTGCCTTGGCACTGACTCTTTTGAAGGATCTGGAAGCGTGGTTATACTTCTTTTTTAGAGCGCTGGTGTTTACATTTCGGAACATTGATACGTCAGCCCAGGCTTGGTAGCACTCCTGCTTATAGCATGATGGTATTTTACAGGAGTGACCAAACCATGGCTGAGATTTGCCTCCGATGGGCACCAAAGAGGAAGGAATAAAAAGTTTCATACCCTGAAGAACCACATCATCGACAGAATCAGCAATAACGTTGGGATCGTCCGGCGAGAAGCAAACTCGCCCCCAAAGGTAGAATGCAAAGAAAGGCCGCATCCCATCCCAATCAGCTGACCTATAGTGCCAAACACGACGGCAGCCTGCAGCATTTCAACGTAGGTGTCACCACACTCCGGACAAGACAATGGTCCGAGGAGCCTAAAGGGGCGTCGTCGGAAATCTGATATCCGTCCGGATGAGAGGTCAGCAGAAGGTAAAAAGTTAACGGATTTCAGTGTTCTTAGTGTCAAAATTTTGTACTTACGAGACGCATCTAGCGGTGTAATTTTTTTAGCCGCAAAACAGTTTTTAGTGATTTTTCAAGAGAAAACCGTTTTTCTCATATTAGCAAAACAGTAAATCGCATGGGACGCTTGATTAGTCACCACAACCTACTATTTTTTTAGTGATTTTTGCGCGCTATCTGGGGACACATCATCCTCCAAAAATTTGGAACTTTTGAATAAAGGACACCCGAGTTATTAGAGTAAAACCGAAAACCACGGGGTAGGTGATTTCGCGAACCAGGACTCTGCGGCTGGAATTGAAGGTGTCGCTCGAGGCGTCTCGGAAAGCTCTTTCCGAAAATATATGCATTATCAGCCGGAAGTGTACATATCCTCTAACCACACTTTTGCAGTTGGTTTCTCACATCTTGTAAGTTTGGACTCTAATAACTGTTAGTTTTTAGTGACGACCCCCCCTTCATTTTTTTGTATATAGAGGACAAATTCATGCCCTTACTGTGGGTGAAATTTAATTTTTTTAGATAAGCAGTTTTTAACAGTAAATTTTTTGTAAAACATCCCTTTTCGCCATTATACGATATATTTGTTTTGCGTGTAGTGGCGTAGTGGCTAGCTAAACCGCAAGCGCCAGATCAAATTAAAACAGTGAAATTGTCGTTCATATTTAGGAATACATTGATTTATATCCATTTTACATTTTTTTCATTTCCTAACTTTATTTCAGGCCCAACCTGTTTTTATTTTATATTTGTTATAACATCTCTGCATTTTGTTAATTTTACATATAAGATTTAGTATAAGTAGCTATATTGAGACTCAATAGCTCAATGGTGAAGGAGTGACCACAATCTGAAAGGTTGTAGAATCTTTAACCGGTTGACAATAATCTCATGGGATCACCTGTAAGACTATTGTGGCACATAAGCATTACGATCAGCTCAGCCTACCTTCCCGGCGAGAACGCAAATCCTACCATCGAGTTAGAGCTAGTGGCGGAGTTCGCCCGAAAACACAACGCCGAACTTGTGGTGGGTTGTGATGCTAATGCTCACCACACAGCCTGGGGAAGCACCAACATCAACGAAAGAGGTAAGTTACCTTACGATTTTCTCACCTCCAACCGCCTGGTAAGCCTAAACTTAGGTTGTACACCAACCTTTGTAACGCGTGCTAGGCAAGAAGTGTTAGACTTTACCTTTGCAACGAATAACATGTCCAGGCGGATAAATGACTGGCATGTTAGTAGCGAAAACTCGATGTCTGATCACAAGCACATTAAGTTTGTGATTGGAGCCTCACCAACCTATGAAACCGTTTTAGGGATCCAAAAGCTACCTCCTGGGATATCTACAGAGATAGCCTAAGGAGGAATTTGGAAATGTTTCCTAAAAGCATCAAAACAATTGAAGGTCTGGAGTTAGTGACGGAGACAGTAACCGTGGGTATCCGTGAAGCCTTCGAGGACAGTTGTCCCGTCAAAACCAAGACCTCAACACGAAAAGTACCTTGGTGGAATTCTAAGCTAAAAAAAACTTAGGGAAAAGGTCTACAAGAGGCTAGTGACCGCCGTCAACGACATCGAGAAGAGGATTCCCTTCTCGCACAACGACCGTCTCGGTTTCTTGTCCTTCTGCCCCACGAACCTGGGAACGACTGTCCGTGCGTCCGTGCACATTAAGCTGCCTAAGTTGGCCGCTGATAAGGCGAAGTTGGAGGAAGTGGCTAGCAAATACCACTTGCAAGTCCGCGGAACTCGCGGTGAGCACACTGAAGCCGAGGGTGGAGTGTACGACATCTCCAACCAGAGGCGCATGGGTCTCACCGAATACGACGCTGTGAAGGAAATGTACGACGGCATCGCTGAACTGATCAAAATTGAAAAGTCCCTGTAATAAGCTATCGATCTCGCGCTATCAGTATTCTTTTATATTATTTATCGTTTATTATATCGATGTTGAACGGGGGGTACGGCACTAGTCAACGCGCCGGTCGGGCCCGGGTGGCCCACTTTACTGCTTTTTGAAAAAGTATTTTCTATAAGGAAATGGAAAATAAAGACATCTAGCATTAAGTTTCTTACAATACTTGCATATTTATTTAACTTGCCCCTCCTCACTTAGCATTGAAAACAACTGATATAAAGGAAACAGAAGTAAAATTTTTAATTTAATGAGTTTCCTGAATTATTTAAAAATGATGAGGTACCCATAAATTAACTTTACATATGCTCATATTCTGTGCTTAATTAAAGTCCTAATATAATAATACATATTATTAAACAAAAATATTAAATTCTTATTTAATCTGGGTATTTTTATACATATAAATAAAATTGAATTGTCTGCTTGTAAAATCGAAATAATTGCCTTATAGAGTCGAAGGGGGTATTTACATGCTATTGACATGAATAAATCTTTGGAGTGGCTAAACCGCTTGTAATTTTTCCGAAACATAGATGTTTTTTTCTTTTTGGGAAAACAAAATATTGTTAACTTAAGTAGTGATGATCTTAAATATATATACAATGCAACGCTACAAGGTAAAGCCGGGCGGGCCGTAGTAGTTTTCCATCTTACAGCTGAAATGTGAGGACATAAACCCTATTTTTGTGAGCTAGCAAGAAAAGCTCAGCCGTGTGTCGGCGCGGCGGACTTCAAACATCTTCAAAAAATATTTAGTTTCTCCTCTGAGAAAATAAATATGTCTATGCAGGTCTGAGACTGACAGATATGCAGGTTTCCTTGCGATGTTTTCATTTACCGCTTCGCACATAAAATACTAAAGAATTTAACTTCATTAATGCCGGCGGGGAAAAAACCAAACTGTTATGTGAAATGAAAGGTTAGCGGCAACTAGACTCCGAACTAGCGCTGTTCTTTAACTTACTTTGTCGTGGATTCCAAAAACATCGGAAATGAGTAATCTCCTAATATAGACTATTAAAAAAAAAAAACCGGCCAAGAGTGTAGGGTTCCGTAGTTTCCCGTCCGTCACAATAAGTGTTCCCACTTATGAGTTTGTACAAAAACTGTTGTTTCCATCCAAGTTCAAAATGATTTTCCTAGAAAGTCCTTATAAATTTCTACTTTTCAGATTTTATTCATATTTTCTAAACTTATGGTTCAAAAGTTAGAGGGGGGGGGACACATTGTTTTTTACTTTTGAAGCGATTATATCCGAAATTATTGACATTATCAAAAATGATTTCATTAAACCCATATTCATTTTTAAATACCTTTCCAACAATATATCACACGTTAGGGTTGAAATAAAAGAAAATCACTTCCCACTTTACATATAGGGGGGCTACCCTAATAAAACATTTTTTCCAATTTTTGTTTTACCACTTTGTCGGCGTGATTGATACACATATTGGTACCAAATTTCAGCTTTCTAGTGATTACGGTCACAGAGATTAAACGAGGACAGACGGACAGACAGACATGGCGAAACTATAAGGGTTCCTAGTTGACTACGGAACCCTAAAAAGGACTTGGTAGAGGTACCTACACTGAGGTTGTCCCCCAAAGTTGTTCCTCCGACAAGTGTGTCAAGAATATTCATAATCGATCAGTGAGCAAATATTACGAATGTACAATAAAATGTTACTAATAAACTACTTATCTTACAATTATTATATCATCGTTTTCATGAAATAATGATTAAATATTCCTTTTTTACGTCCTGTAGTGTAAAATACAACGTAGGTACCAACAAACAAAAAATTACACAAGTAATTGTTAAAGGAGTCCCAGGAAGGGTAACAATACGCTTGATTAGGAACTTGTTGTTTGCGTTACTAAGTCACAACTCGTATCGCCAGTTAATAATTATTACAATTGTTTAAATAATATCGCACAATGGTGGTAACCTATCCCGACTACCTATCAAAACTGAACCTAGCAACAGTTTATGTCCTCACATTTCAGCTGTAGGATGGAATACTATTTTACTATTATCGCTAAGCCCAAATTCAACTATTTAACTAAATTAGCAAGCAGACTTAGATTTGCAGACTCCAGCAATATGTTGGAGGAAAGATTAGAAGTTCCACCAATATTGAAAATTGTGTGAGTAACCAATGTAGAAACCGCTACATTAGTTTATTTTAGTTACGCGACTGAAATTGGAATCATATGTATTTGTTAGCAAAAGAGGGTCAGGGTATGGGCAGTTTGTAAGTTTATGAAAAATTGTGAAGAATCCTTTATAGAAACATTTAAATATAAATCGTGTCGTCTTCTGTTTGGGCTTTCTGCCCAGCAGGTCTCGGGCCTCGGGGCATTCCCCATTACCCGGGCAATCATCACAGCCCATTTATATGGGCCGGTCCTGGGAGCCGTTCAGGAACGGCATTATTGGATGTCTTAGCTTGGCGTATTGCGCGCTTTTAGGCAGGCGCTTCCGAAGGATCAGCAGTCTCGAAGCCCCACGCAGTCTCGCAGAGGACGGGTCGCGACGTAGGGCCAATTTTGCCGACAGGTGTGCGCTCCTGAATAGCAGCACGCCGGGCCTCCGGAGCTCGCTTCCCAGCATATTAGTTGACACGCAATGTTGAGGATGTGTCATCCCAGGAGGGTTAGGGGCGTACTCGAAGCTCGACGCAAGCCAAGTTCATCCCACGGCACGTACACCCATTGCAAAGCGACGCGCCTGTACTGTACTTCTCCCTCCCAGGCGGAAGTCGACGACCGGCGGACGCGACCGGCGGCGAGCGCGGCCTAGAGCGAAGTGCCTTAGTTACTAGAATCCACAATTAGTCATTCATTTATGGGGAAATGTATTCGCTTTTACAACATAATCGCAGAAAATTTTCAGCCCTGGGGTTATAAGCTAATAAATACTCTGAGTCCACACGGCGCGTTGCGTTGCGTTGCGTCGTCGCAGCGGCGACGCACAGTTGTGGTGAGCATTTTGTAAAAATATCGCAGTCTAATCGGAAACATGGCATGTGACTTGTCTCATATAACTTCTCTTTCCTGAATTAATGAAATGATAAGATAAGAAAATGATGAGTAATCCATATCATCAATTTCTTTAATACTCATTCTCTACTTTTATGTTTTTTATTCTTTAATACAACTCATTTTACACTGCAAATTAAACTCAAAGAAAAAACTAAATTAGCTTGCGTGCTATCAACGCACAAAGAACTGAACGCTGCCGCTTCTGCGTCGCAAGCAGTGCACTCCATTCGTCTCGGGGGCGTTCATTCAGTCGTGTGCGCGTTGCGTCAACGCAGTGCACCGTGTGCACTCTATAGTTATTACTTATTGGTATGTACAACGACGCAGTGACAGCCCTACGTCAACGCAACGCTGACGCAACTCGCCCTGTGAACATACTCTAAGGGTGGACTGGAGAGGAGTAGCCATAGCATTTTTTCTATCATTTCTGGGGGGAGGGGGACTGCGCACATAGAAACAATCGTCTAGCTTTACAAAACTCATACGTAACTATTAAAACATGTTAATATAAATATGTTAACAATTTCACACAAGCATAGACAAAATAGAACACTCGCTCGGTGACAACGACAACTCGGATACAGACGAATTAGCCGTTTTTCCGATCCACATATTAAATGGCGGCGTGCGGCCTGTGTTGGTAAACAAATTCGAAATAATAGATCGTTATTATTGTCCTTTTTAAGTTTAAAAAAAATGTTAAATTTACAGCCTATATACGTCCCACTCCTGGGCACAGGCCTCAGCTTATTTCTAAGAGGGTTTTAGGGCAAGGTTATTGTTCGCCGCGCTGCCCCAATGCGTGTTGGCGAACTTCGCATTTCTTCGAAATATTTTGTTTCCTTCTTTCGCAGACATGCAGGTTTCCTCACAATGTTTTCCTTCACCGCCGAGCACGTGGTAAATCAGCACTTAAAATTGCAATTAACAATTTAATTGGTGCCAGCGTCCCCGCCGAACCCGGTACGCTCGCGTACTGTGAAATTTACAGCTTAACGATCTGAGCTACCACGGCTTAGACAGAAAAAGAAGTAAATAGCGAATGTGAAAATTACTTATATATGAAAGGTAACGCCGTCTTTTTGTAAAAACGCGGCATATATCTTTTTACAGCGTGATAAAACTGAACAATATGCTTTTTTGTACGACTGCAACTAGTTTTATTATACGTATAGCACCGCGTGGACTTGTATCTTGGATCTTATATGGCTACTCCCTTTCAGTCAGCCGATGGCCCGTGAGCCTCTATGGTGTCTAGGATTGACAAATCTTATTCTACTGCGCATAGCGGCAACCAAAAATTATATACTGTGAAACCGTCCAATTTTGACAATGTTGTATATTTTGCCCGCTATGCCAATTTTAAGCTCAATCGCAAATTTAAAAATTACTATTTAATTTACGTTGATTTGCTTTGTTTTAAATAAATGTAGACTATATTTCTGGCACCACTGGGAATAGTTCTTACCTTTGATTACACTCAGTTGCTTGTCAGAACCAGTCAAAGTGCACGTGTGTTTTGATGTGGGTCAATTTAGCCTCGGTGTTTCTTGGTATGCTTCTCATGGCGAAGACAAAGCTGAGATTATCTTGTTACATGGTCTAGAAAGGGGTTTCTAGAATCTTTTTCTTGTGTATTCTTTCCTGGCAGTATTTTAAATAAATAATGATGACAATGGGCAAAATAAGCCGCATAAGTTGCGTCTTCCGGTTGTTAATTTTGCCCATCCAAAAAAGTGTACAAGGGTTGTCACTTTCTTATTAATCGACAGTCTAAAAAGAAGAGATATGTTTGTGAGCTCCTATGTAACCTCCTGTAGCTTAACCAGCTTGGCGATTTTAATGTGTGAGGTGTCATTTCTGCCTCAATGTTCGGAATGTCTACATGTTGGCCACGTGCTGTGGTTCCTATTAATGTGTTTGAC